TTTTTTTTTTTTTAAATTGAACCTCTCGAGTAGCTGAACAAACTACAACATCAGCCTATGCTGGCATTTCCAGATCACAGGCATGAAAATCGCCGTCTGCCAGACCGCCTTCACGCACACCAGCCCAGCCTGAGGAGGAAAGGGGGACGAAGCTGTGTAGATGGGACCCCGTCAGCAGGACGGCACGGACAGACACCTGTTCGAAGCACATCTCACTAGCACGAGAGGCAGTCTGAGCCCGAGGAACGGGCTCGCCACGCTCACAGCTGGGTGACGCTGCCCCTTCAGCTGTACCAGACAGACAGGAGGAAGGACACGGGCTTCACAACTTGGTCATCAAGAAGTAAGCAGCTCCCAAGGAGGAAGGGAGGGACAACTTCTAAACAACTTCAACAGGCAAACAACCAGGAAAAACAAACCCATGAACTTCCCACCTCATTCTAAAAAGCCCACACTGCCAAAATTTTACTTCCCTTCTTGCTTAAGCGTTATGTTAAAAGAGGACGAGGATTAGTACTTTTTTCCCTTGCAAGGGAAGCAAGCAGCTCTGCCAAGTGAGCTCTGCATCGCAGGGCGTGAGCACGGAGAGCTGAAATGAAGCTAAGGCTCCTCTCCTGCTGCAGCGGGCCTTGTCTTTGGGACAACTCTACTTCTCCCTGAGTGTCAGCACAGCTTTGCCCAGAATTGTGCTCAACATCCCCGTGGCAAGAAAGCGATGGGGGGCGAAGGGGCATGGAGAGAAACAGATGCAGTCATGAATCGTGTCCTCTGTTCCACTTCTCACATGACAAGCTTCACAACTTTTTTTTTTTTTCCTTTCTTTTTCTAAATCAAAGGTTTTGCTATGTCATAAAAATCAAAACAAATTAGGCTTGACAAGTAAAGGTCAAAATTTTATTTGTGAACCACCGGCCAGCAAAGCGATGCTCCTCCAGAAGCAGAACCAGGACCCACCACAATTCCTGTTGCAACTCAAGACCAGAGGCAACGAGGGTGGCCAGGGTCCACAGAAAGAACTTCCAGTGGACCTAAACAGACTGTCATTTCAAATAAGACTTTTTCTGTAAATACAACAAGCATTCTGCAGCTCCAGATGCCAACTCGCGGAGAGAGCACCAACGGGGGTCCTCCCACAGGGCCGGCTCTCTGCCGCAGCGCAGGGACCAGACCAGTTCTTGCGCCCCATTAGCAGGAGTGCTCAGGAGCGGCCCCAGCAGCTCCCCTCACCCGGCCAGCCCTGGAGACGGGACTTGTTCCCCGTCAGAGGTTAGCGTCCATCAGCACAGCAGTCTGCAGGCACAGCCTCAGCAAAGGCAGCAACAGCAAGCCCGAGCAGCAGCGCATCGCCAGCCCAGCCGGACCAGCACCTCTCCCCAGGGGCACTGCAGCAGCCTCCGCCACGTTTACTCATCGCCCAGCACCGTGCGGCGCAGGCAGCCCTGCCCCATCCTGCTCGGCAGGGCAGCAGGCAGCACGCCATCAGAAAGAGATCAGACGTGACAAACCAGGACAGGTCTGCGAGAGCCTGTGAACCAGGACTGATCTCCCAGTCCAACAGCAAACGCTTCCAGCCCTCACAAGCCCGCACACAAACGCCCCTCTTCAGCGAAATAAATTGAACCAACTGTTACTGCCACGGCCAAGAAGAAAGCCTCAATTTAAGGTCTTCTCTCTGGAACAAATGCAATGCACATGCATTTTTATTTAAAAATCTCTGCACACAGACCTCTATTAGAACCTGTGGCTTGTAAAATTTTGGCTATAGTATTGACCACGTAGGATGTCAGCATCTGTGAAGTCTAATTTTCTTGCTAGGGCTATCTAGGACTATCTAGTGCTATAGTTGCACACTAAGGCTGCTTGTACTTCCCTCCTTATAAACCCTGCCTGGAATTTATCCTTTTTCCAGTGCCCAGACTGACAGCTCATATGCTGAATACGTAATCCTGGCTGGGAGTGACAAAGTTTAAATCCTTCATGAGGGAGCGAAGCTGGGATGCTCTTAAAAATTCTGTTTCTTTTTATGTACATCTGAGCTATACAAGTAAGGGAAGAAAAAGAGGAGGCTGCCTCTGTTCCAGAACCAGAGCTCTCCTAACAACGACCTCAACAGACAGGTTCAGCTGTTTTCCGTATTTCAGCCAGACCGATGTAAATACCCATTTGACACCGGGGGATTTGACTTTCCCCACAGGCATTAATATGCCCCAGAACTTGCAAGGGATCTTCTCAGGGCAGCCAGCGACCACGATAGAGTTTGCTTTTGTCAAAGCCTTTCCTAGCATACAGCCTGCTCCGAGCACGGAGGTTACTCTTCTCTTGCAAGGAGAGTCCTTCACGTTGTTTTCCCATCGTCACTAACACCAGCACATTGTTCTCCAAGGACAAGCAATATGAATTCCTTCTCCCTGCTCTTCAGTGTCTTGCTCCTGCTGTACTTCACACAGAGCAACAATCACAAAAAAAATGAATTTCTATGGATTTTCTGGTTTATTGGTTTCAATAAAAATCTCTCCTCCAGTTTTGTTTTTTTTTTTTTTTTTTCCTACTAAGAGTTCATCTGATGGGATGCTGGAAATCCTGGAAGGAAACACACACAAGAGTGGGATCGTGAGAAGAGGTGCACAAACACGAGCACAGAGCAGGTGCAGCTGGGCAAGCCCAGAGACGTTCAACGTTGTGCTCGAAGCCACCTGCCAGTCCCCTCGGCTCAGAAAGAGCAGCCGAGGCCGCGCTGCTGCTGCCCTGCTCAAGGCGAGGACAGCAAGACTGATCTTCTGAAGCCTCAGAAGACAGCGACAGCTGCAGGTGGGACACCTTGCAGCAGACCTGCTGTGTAGCACATCCACCAGCTTGACTCGATGCTAGCACTGTTATTTTAGAGACATACCTACGCTGCCAGGCAGTCATCAACAGCTTTCCCGTGGGCTGACGGCACTGTTGATCGGCTTAAGTTTGCATCCACTAAATTTCAACATTAGTGAGAAATTCAGCTGAGCCACAACCCTCCTGTGTGGCCTCTTGGCCGTATCCTGACTTACAGGCAGGGGAGCAAGGTCTGGCGAAGAAAGCCACTTGCATGGAGTCCCAGAGCGAGCTGGTGGCAGATTGGAACAGAATCCAGATTCCCGCGTGTTAATTACAGCTCAATAAACATGCACAACTCAGTCATTACTAGACTTTCTCCTGCAAATGGGGCGAGAGGAAGGGTGTCCGCGTTTGCTGTCCTCCAGGGTCAGCACCTTGCTAGCCATTTTGCACAGGTGCTCCTAGTCCAAAACTGGTAGTTCTTCCCTTTGCAACGAGACGTTGATCATCTTCCAGATGTAAACCAGGGAAGGAAGTCTTGCCGTCTTCTGATGAAAAGCATTCAAAAACCATACAGCAGGCAGCCCGAAAATCACAAATTTAGTCAGTAAAATTGCAGGATACCAGCACTGTGCCACACAGCGAAATGCTCACGGCAAGACCAGCACTAGAAAGCAGGGGTGCAAATGACCTGGCGGACACCGCAACCCCGCGGGGAAGCTGGAAACCAGACTGTGTCTATCAGCTCTGGGCAAACGCCTCTCCAAAGGCCTAGAAGAAAATGGCACATTTCTTCTTTCCTGTCTGGCCCCTCACCTTGCCCTTCCTCCAAGGTGAACAGAGCCACAGCCACATCGCTCAAGAGCGGACGTGGCCTCTCGGACATCTCCCTTGCTGACTTCTGACCAAGACAGCCTTCGCGTCGGTCACCCCCAAACAGGCTGAACGCTTCCAGCCCAAAGCAAACCCGCCGGGACCACCCAAGCGCCCACCCGTGCCACGCTCAGCCACTACGCAGCTGCAGCGGCAGCAGTAGCACAGACCGCCAGCAGCGGTTGTACACGGGTGTCCGGGTCACAGAGGCAAATTTTGTCTGATATCAAAAAGCCTAATTATTTTTAATCAGAGTAAGAGTGAGAAGAACGTGTCTTCATCACAGCCAAGCAAAAATGGAGGCTAAAGATCATTAGCGTATTTCTACTTTAATCATTCTGAACTGTGAAAGATCGCAGAACTTCTGGCTAAAATTTCAAGTCTTTAGCTACAGTAATTAGAAACGGTTATAATTCCCCTGACTGTGTAATTTAGTCTCAAGAATAAAACTTCATCTCAAAGCATTAGCAGCTCTGACACGATAGCATCTCTGTTATTGCAACAGCCCAAAGAAAAATGCTTCATTCTTTCAGTTTCTTGCATGTGTCAAGAAACAGCCTCGGCTGCAAAGTGCTACCAGCTGCTTAATCTCCAAAATAAAACTTTATTTTTAGTCTAAGCGCTTATCCAGGAGCTGTGCGAGTATTGTGATTAGGCTCTTACACCCATTGTAAGCTCCGTCAAATCTGCAGCAGTGACAAATAACGATGCGGGCTCTGGTGCAGGAGATGGTCTGTACGACAGCCTGCACGACTGTCACCTTCTGCTCAGGAGCAGCAAGAGGAACTCTGCCAGGGGTCAGAACAACTGCCTTTAAAGCTGGATTTTATGTAGATGGAGGGAGAAACTCTTATAGCAAAGCACAATTACCAAATTCCAGCGACTGGGGATTTGCTATCAGAACATCTGATCACTTGATTGACACTGTACAACCAACTCCCTGTTCCACAACCATCATCATCATCTCCACGCTAGCGTGAAAGGTTTGACAGTACCTGAGCTACCACAGCTCGCTGCTTCCCCAGCGGTCCTGCGCTGGCACCAGCCTCAACACGTGCTGCTCCATCACCGACCCAAGGCACGTGCTATCCTGGCAGAAAAGCAACCAGATGAGAAACAAAGTTTTCCAGCAAGCCGGTGAACTGAATGGATTGAGAACAGGGCCAACAAGAGCAGAGGCAGCACGGGGGAAGGCTGGGCAGCGGGGCCGGGCGTAGGATGTGGGACCAGGCTCGAGGAGCGGCCGCGAGCTGTCAGACCCACGCTGCGAGCCTGGGATGACCCGGTCTGCAAGGAAAGCAGCTCCCGCGCTACCTCACTCTGCACAGCGCGCTCCAACCCTGAACCCGCGTCAATGCTACAACGCGAACCAGGACGAAGGGGTGTCCTGCAAACAGAGAGAGCTCAAAATTCACTCCTTTGCAGAAACCTCTCTTCTCTTTGCGGCTTGGGAGCTGAAACACCATTCCTGCGCCTGCCCGGCCGGGACTACCTGTACTCCGCCGCTGTGCACTTGCTCATGCTGCAGGAGAATTTTAAGTTGTTGCTAGGCTGCACAAAGCAGTCTCTTATTTTTATCACATGCCTGTTTATTCTTGTAGAAAAAGATACGGCAAATAGCAGTCCAAGGCATCCTCCAAATGCTTGTTACACTCTCGGCTGGGTCCATTTTCTCACCAGACGTTCCAAAGCTTCTTGGCCACCAGCATAAGCACCTCCACACCCAGACAGCCCCCTTCTCGCTCCGCCAGAGGTACCACATGAAAGTGTGACTGACCAGAGAAGGCCTCAGCTGAGCAGAGAATCTAAACCCACACTGCAAACAATTTTTCAGTTATTCCAAATACACGTCAAGTAATTTTGAAAAGGCTCTTAACAGTAATTTCAAAGCTCTTTCCTAGCAGCTTAATACAGCTGCGCAGCTGATCTGCAGCAGCCAGCATGCTAAACCATTCCCACTTCACCAGGAAACATCCCCCTGCAACTTAGCACTTATTTTTGCACCCCTGACATTTACCAATGCAGTGTTTTACAGCTGCCATTCCCCTCCTCGGTGTGAAATATTAACACTTCCATTGATGGGGAATACAGCCTGGCTCGGACGAGAGCCGAAGCAGGCTGCTGCTCCCATACGTGGGTCCCACGGCCAGCAGCCGACCGCTGGGGCCAGCCCCTGCCCTGCTCCCTGCCCCGCCGGGAGCAGGGCAAATAAGCCTTCCTAGCAGGCCAAGCGTCACCCGCAGTTTGGCATCCTCAAGGACAGCAGCTCGCTTCACACTCCTTGTGCTGCTGTGGTACAGCCTGAAGCCTTCAGCCAAACCTGGAATGACTCCAGACTCCTGTTCGGAAATTACACGTCCTCTCATAACGATAGCAACACAGGGGCTATTTAACCCAAAGGAAGGACCCTTATTACTTGCTAGCCTCGGCATTTGTCCCTTCCTGACACCGAGTGAACCTCCTGCTCCTAAGGAAGCTTTCTAAATTGAACCTTCTGCTGCTCCATATAAAGCTTTGAAAGGCCTGCCTTCTGCAGCGACTGGCTCCAGAGCACACCCTAAGCTCTGATTTAACCTCCACATTTTTCTGCCACCCGTACATTGCTTAAGCATCAGCACACAGTTGGAGATAAAAGACCAACCTCGTGCCGACGGGCACCCTTCCGTTCAATCAGAAGCCACGGCACTCATGCCGACAGCTTCGCTGCAGCAGCATTTGCCTGGCATTAGATATTAGCATTTGCCTCTTGCTCCGTCAGTAGCTGGAGGCAATTATCCTACGTGCTGTTACCGGCCGGCGCAGCGCTGGGTACGCGTTTTCACTTGTCTTAGCACCTGTCAGCCCCCGAGTTCGTTACAGCTTCGCTCGCTACCGCCGTGCCCGCCAGCGTCGCCGCTCGCGATCTCCACCGTGGGTGTGCAGAGCCGGGGTTCGGCTGCGTGCGAGGCCGGCGTTTCAGCAAGCAGCTCGCTCTGCTTGCGGTTCGTGAGCTGCCCCCGTTCAGCAGCACGTGGTCCGATCCTTCCCTCTCGCTGCTCGATGGCTTCAGTATCCATCCCCAGAATGGCACTCGACTTGAAATGACTCTTAATAACCCACAACAGAGCTAAAAGGGAACTACAGAAGAGTAAAACCAGCAGGAATTGGGCGTTTCTAATTGACCCAAATTAACTTCACATCATCTGCACCTTCCGGTGCCCTGGCTTGTTTCTTAGAGGCGTTATTAAGAAGGATCTGTTGGTTGGGGTTTTTTCCCCCCTACAACTAACCTTCTTTTAATAGCAACACTGAGCCACAAGGATTTCAGTACAAAATTTTGCTGCATTTGCGACAAAGACATCAGCCAAGAATAAGCTTTAAATAATAAATGGGAATTATTTTTTCCACTAGAGAAGCCAAGGCATGAATTTCCCGTATCTATGAAAGCTAAGCAAAAAAAAAAAAAAAAAAAAAATAAAGGGGCCCGGGAAAAAACCAAATCCCCCAAACAGGGGCGGGCGGCGCACACCACCGCCCCCCCCAGCCTCTCCCGTGAGCATCCTCCCCGCGGCCTGCTGCAAGGGGCTTTCAGGAGATTTGCTGCTGTTGGCTGCGACTGCTGTGCAACCCGTTGCTCACCTGGAACCTGACTGCACTGCTAACGAAGCCCAAGGCTTACTTTTACAATGGTGACTCCTGTTGGCCACTCTCTCTCCCTGCTAAGCACGCTAACACTCATCATTAGCTGTGTTTTTTCCCCTGTTGTGATTAGGGCAGCATTAATTGTCTCCCAGATCGCTGTCACTAATTAGTCTCAGTGCCCTTATGAAACCGAAATTGGGTGACAAATTGTTTGTACTCTCATCCCAGACATTCAGCAAACAGTCTCAAGCAAGCCTTCAGCAAGCAGATGCCTTCTCCCACAAATAAAAGCAGGTTTTGACTTTCAATCAGCTCTTCGGAGCTGGCAGGATGCAACAGCAGAACAAAAGTCACAGACGCAGAGCATTACTGCAACTGCAGAGCAGCAAATTAGATCCTGCTGCCTCGTGCATCATCGGGCAAGTTCTGCTGCCAGAAACTTAATGGCCAAAAAAAGATGAGCAGATGCAGGGAAGGGTCTTCTGCTTCCTGCTACCAGGTCTAAGGGCATTTGGGAAAGTTGCATCTGAACTAGAGGAGAGTGCTCACAAAGTCACCAGCAATGCTGCTTTAATGTTACTGCATTGCTAACGGACTGTCGGGAGCCAGCCTGGCAGGCTGCAAGCTATCTTAAGGCTGTAGCAAAAAATAACCTGAGAAATGAACGTAAAGCCAGCGAAGAAATGCTTCTACTGGAAGATTTTGAAACTGGTATGAGCAAGGTGGAGAGATGCAGGAAGGCTGCTCTAGAAAGCAGCCTGGGAGAAGGCTCCCGCACCCACGGCAGCGAGAAGACGTCATGCCACACAAGCAAATGAAGCAGGGGACTGCAGAGAGGAAACTCATGAGCAGCAGCCTGGAGCTATGCCACCGTGGGGTTTTAAAATCTAGTAGTTTAATAAGGTCTTTGCTCTGCAACTAAATAGCTCCTGTAAATAGCTTAAGGGCTTATTGGTAGGCAAGATGTCCCCTCCTGTCAGGCCATTCTGCTCGGCTGCAGAAGGGCCCCAGCCTCGCAGGGAGGCCGGCTCCTGAACCAAGCAGCCGGCGGAGAGACCCGGCGCTGCCCTAAGAGGCGTACAGGCTGCCCAGGTAGCGCTCGCCTCGCTGAAGCGTTCTGCAAAGCACGCACCCACACTTACTTGCAGGCTGAGTTACTGCTAATCAGAAATTCAATGGCATCCGAAGGAGCGTCAGCAGCACGCTGAAATAAAGGGGTTTGTCACCGTTTTCAGCCAGACATTAAAAGGCCCGTTTGTAACGGTCACGTGCATCTGTGTGCAGCTACCCATTCACCGATGCAACGAGTTTTCAGCATGCGGTTCCCACAGCTATGCCCTCAGGCCCAGGAGGATAAAACCACCGTGAGTTAGCCTTATGAGAGGCCTGTTTGAATTTCAGAAGCCTCCAGTAAACAGCCCCCCGCACCGTACAAGCCACAGGCAGCCTCTCCCACGACGCCTGCGCGGGCACAGGGCTCACACCCGCCGCTGCGGGGGCCGGACGGTGCCCTCCCTCCTCTGCCCCCCGTTAGGGCCGCAGCAGCCCCCTCGGACTTTCCGTCATTACCAGCATCGCCGACTCGGCCGTCGTTACCGCCAGCGCGGGCCGCTGCCATGGCTCCCCCGGCCCCCAGGACGGTACAGGTCTGCTGTCGGTGTCACGGTGTGTCGGTGGCAGGAGGAGGACCACCACCCCTCGCCGCGGTGCCCTCCCTCCTCTGCCCCCCGTTAGGGCCGCAGCAGCCCCCTCGGACTTTCCGTCATTACCAGCATCGCCGACTCGGCCGTCGTTACCGCCAGCGCGGGCCGCTGCCATGGCTCCCCCGGCCCCCAGGACGGTACAGGTCTGCTGTCGGTGTCACGGTGTGTCGGTGGCAGGAGGAGGACCACCACCCCTCGCCGCCCTCACGGTGCTGGGCTGCTGCGCGGGCAGAGACCCCCGCGGTGGAGACGGCCACCCCAGTGCTGCCCGCCGACGCCAACCGGGGTGGGCGGACTCCCGGGCTACCGAGCCATCCCGTGCGCCCCTCACCGCCTCCCCGGGCCACCACCGAGCCCTTTTTCTGTCTCACTCCCACACTCCTGCGGTAGCCCCGCACCTGCGAGCTGGAGCCCGGCAGGCCCTCGCCCAGCCCCTCTCTCCGGCCGGGGCTGCCGAGCTCTCGCTTTGCCCCTGCCCCGCGGAGCCGGTGCTCCCCGCACCTCGCCCTCCAAACACGACCCCCACGGAAGACGGCTCCGTCCCGAACGGCGCCCGTGTGCCCCAGCAGCCCGTAACCGCGTCCGCAAGGACCGCGCTCCCCGCTCCTCCCGGCCAGC